GGGTAAAAGGAGTGTGTGTGTACAGGTGGATGACCACGTGTTCTGTGCCTATAAAGGGAGAAAAATCATGGAATGCCATGAAAAGCCCTGGCTATGGTAGTGGGGAAGTCCTGGCCCTGTGTTTGCCAGAGGAGACATTTTGCTAGAAGACGATGGGTAAGGGAAGCCTTTCTGGTAATGAAGAATTTAGCTAGCAGTGGAGAACAATGTGTTTCTGTCAGAGGAAGCACTGTGGGAAAAGCCCAAACTCTAACATGATCTCCAGTCCACGAAATGAATCTCCAGTTTCTTAAGGAATATGTTGTGAAGAGAGATACCAGTAACCTATAGAGGATGTTTTGAAGGATTTCCCTCCCTAAACTCAGAACTCCTTATGGTTCCTCTCCCTCCCTCTAGAGTACAGTACAGGTGTGGTACACAGTAGGTGTTCAGTGAATATTGATTCAGTGAACAATTGACCTGTGCTGGTGCTCGTGCCTCAATTCACTTACCACTACCACCCCCCACCCCAGGCAAGAATTGTGAGAAGTGAATATAACATGGGTGAAAAGAGCTTCATAAGCTATAAAGCACTGTACAAAAGAGAGAGGCCACTAATATTATGCAGGTGTGCCTATATTCTGTGCAAGATAGATTGCATTGAAAGCACTTTATAGAGTGCCTGGCATTTAGTAGGTGCTCAGTACATGGTAGCTATTATGATACTGTTTTCGTGGCTCTGAGAGACCTGGAGAAACAGCGAATAGGTGGCCTAGGCTGGGCTGGTGGTGCTGCATTGGGGAATGGTCTAAAGAAAGGTTGAATTAGAAAAGTTAGTAGAGTTTGGCTTTAGGGGAGGAGGCTGGATATATAATAGGATGAAGTCCACATTTGCCCAACTCCCTTTCTATTCTCACTAAATGTTCCCAATGAGAAGATGGAGTCACATTTATTGAGCACCAACTATGTGTCACATATTACCTAAATGCTTTACCAACATTGACTATAATTTTCTCAATGATGCTTGTTTTACAAATGAGGAAACTGTGTCCTAGTTACATAAAATTTCTTGCCAGGGTCTCAGAGCTAATAAATGACAGACCTGGAAACAGAATCTAGTTTGTTTGGTTTGGAACCCCAAGCTATTTCCACTACCTGAGATGACTTGGTAGAAGAAAATATGAAGCAGACAAAAAAAATTTTTTAAGGGGTTTATAAAGCACTCTCCCATATAGTAGTTTTAATTCTTATAACAATTTGCCAGGAAGTCTTTTATTAACTCATTTTATAGGTGAGAAAATTGATCTGCCTAAGGTTTTACAAGTGCTGAGAGAGCCAGAGCTCAACCCAGGTGTCTCGGACACAATCTTGTGCTCTTTCCACCAAAAGAGAAGTTCATCCGATCACTTGTTCATTACATGTAATGAATTGATCTCTTGCTGGATTTTAGGGCTTTCTCCTCCTCTCTCCCCTCTTTCCTAGCTGAAGTTGGCTTCTTCCGTGGGTGCTTATTTTTGCTGCCTATCAGACCGAAAGCCTTGTTTTTCATACCAATCCTTGCAGGGGCCATTTCCTTCTTTCCCCCAGCTTGGGACTAGAGATGCCTTCCCAGATGGTCCCTGGACCTTCATCTTTATTGCTTGTCATGGAGACAGTGAGCTACCCAGCTCTATCATTTATGTGACTGTCACAAAAGACAGGAAGATCTGATTGATGCTTATCTCACAAATGCGTTCTGCACTCGCTGCTGTGCAGTGAGTGACCTGTCTGCTCATATCTGCCTCAGGTGGTTGCCTGCTGGGATGCTTTTTGCCTCCCCTCCAACTGTCTAAGTAGCCCCTGCCACCTTCCTGAAAAGATCTCCTTGGGGGCTTCCATCTGAATGTGCCTTGCAACTGAACCTCTCTGCCCTCTGCCTCTCCCTATTCTCACACCACCTACTGGGAATGCTGTGCTGTGTGCACATAAACAGATGTTGACAGTACAGTATGGCAAGCGCCAGGAAAGAGCTGCAGGGCGCTGGAGATGCTTCTTTACTCACGCTAAAGTTACTGAAGTTTTTAATTTCCCTAAGCCTCATCTAATCTGGGAGTCATTAAATAACAGAAGGTTTAGTCATGATACTCCAACTGACTTGCTGTGTGACCTTGGACAAATCACTTCTCTTTATAGAGCCTCATTTTATTTTTATTATTTATTCTTTTTACCTGTGCAATGAAGGGAAGTGGATCATATCAGGAATTGAAACTAGTTTTTAGTCTTGTCTCACTCCTTGTGGCAGGCATAGCTCATAAAGGCAGGCACTTTTCCCGCTGATTCTCCAGGAGGCCCCATGTGTTTTTCTCAACACAGTGTATGATGCACATTTATATGCATTCTCTTATTTAAAATTCACAGCAGCTTTCTGAGGTAGGTAATATTTTCATATCATAGATGAGGATAATGAGGCTCAGAGTTTAAGTGACTTGCCCAAGTTCATACATTGAGTTATGGGAAAGTTGGGACCAGGAGTCAGGGGTTTTGTTATGGTAAAGCTGCCACACCCAAATCTCTTCTTATTCCAAAAATCTAAGTGTGTAAACAGCTGCCTCAGAAAAAACGAAGACCAATAATATGACTTTTACATTAATAGTCTGGCACATGGCAAATGCTCAGTAAATGTTTATCGAAAGGAGTAACATAGGGTGCCTGGGTGGCTCAGTCAGTTAAGCATTTGACTTTGGCTCAGGTTCTGATCTCATGGTTGGTGAGTTCAAGCCCCATATTGGGCTCTATGCTGACG